ATTAAGAACCATGTGAGGAGCCCCACTTCAAGCAATTTACACAAGGACAGTGGTTTTGCATTGAATGGGTGAAGGACCTGTTTGCACTTCTTTTATGACATACTGGGTTCCACAGTACTTAACTGCATAGCACAATTCACTGATAAGTGTAACCCCTAAGTTTAGCCTTCTGACAACTGTTTAGGGTGTGGGGTTTTCCCCATAAAGACAAATGCTGTTATTGTATGCCTGCATAACGTTTGGCCTTAATTGCTTGACACAATTCATGCTGCTTTTGAAACCTCTGTCAACAGGAATACCAAAATGTTTATAACATGTTTAGGAGGGATTGCAAGGGGAGGGAAGAAATGCAGCCATTGTAGTAAAGCAGTGATTTAGAATTGTCAGCACTGCCAAGCACAATTCACAGCATGTAGAGACCATTAGTCCCTGGTGTGCTTGAAAGTGCTTAAGGTTGGGAAGCAGGGAGAGGGTGGTTTCAGGAGTGTACTGGCAGATACTGTGTGATTGCCAGTATTTATTTATTTATTTTATTATATTTCAACATATTCATTAAAGAAGTTAAGAAACAAATTGATCCACCCTTTGTGGCCTAGGTGTAAGATATCTGCGTCATTGAAAATTAGTAGTGTTTTCTACAGCACAGAAAACATATACTCTACTCTCCTCAGCCCTCCTGTGTATCCCTAGGATTTCAGATATTTGTGAACCTTGGGGAAAGACTCAAAACCATTTCCATATTTACAGCATCAAAATTTTACACATCATTCGATTACATGAGGTAGGAAGTCTGGGACTTATTCCTGAGCCATAAAACATCTTCAGTTAACCATACTCGGGAAAAGAGAGAGACTACCATTAAATAGATGATAAAATTTACTCAAATTAGGAGATAGGAGGTTTACTTTCTAGACAAACATCACAAGAACAATTAAGGCAAGATATGCAAACAATAGACCATTAAACAACTTCCACAATGAAATTTCCTTAGAATAGATTATAAGGATATATTAAAACAGAACAACTCATTTTTTTTAAATTGTCATCAAAAGAGAGAACACCATCCACAATTTAATGTCTTTACAGCTGTCTCCTTCCCGCCTCATCGGACAGTAGAATGATGGAGGGAAATATCTCTCAGTGAAATGTGGGATGTCTTCTGTGAGGAGTTTCGGGGGCTGGTACCTGCTGGCATTCCGGGACTCCTGCAGGCTCAACATTATTCTACTTGTCGGTCGGGGGGAATGTAGGCGAAGATTTCCAGGCAAAAGAGCACCTTGGATGGCAGCATCAGGAAGAGAAGGAGTAGGAGGTGGCAGCATCAGAAGCTAATGGGGTGACTCTGAGGCCTCTGCAGCAGATGGATGCTGCATACTGTCAGCCACCAGTCCAATTAACCTTTCATTAAGGAATGTTCATGTTCTCCGTGCCATGTCTCCACCTCCAAGAACCAGTTCAGAAGTCTCTCTTCCTCAATTGCCCCGGAAAACTCAAATTGCTCCGGACTTCTCCCGTCCACCCCTTTAAGCAGGTCTTCCAGGGCCCTTCTTCATCTACCCTGACCTCTCTGGATACTGCTCCTGCCCTCTTGGTGGCAGGGTTTCCGTCTCGGCATCCAAACATCCTGCCAATCCAAAGTGCCTTTGGAAGAAGCTGAGAATCCCCCGGCCCCCAAAACTTTGATGTAAAAGCTTTTGTGGGTTTTCTGACACTTTTGAACATTCCAGAAATGTAAATAGCTCAGCATGCTTTGTTCTTGGAAAGCTTTTGCAGCACACAAGGAAGGAGCAGAGGCATATAATGGTGAGGAAAATGTAGTTGTGCTTTTAAGAATCGTAATGTCCATAGTGTCTCAAGGTGGTGGAAAGAGATGGGAAATTTCTTCCTGGGGCTATGTTACATGTTTACAATTCCTTTCTTTAAGTAAGGACAAAATCGTGGAGGAAAGTTTACTCCACCCATGCACTGATCCATCCTTTGCAGCCACATAGACTCAGTGGGCCAAGTGCTTGCTTTTAGAGCCGGGCCCATTATTGTTGCCTGTATTGATCTGCAAAGCGTTCAGCAGAAAGCTGTTCTGATGTGGTCAGTGCAGCACACTAGTACTGGTGCAAAGGGGGGAGAGGGACATCTATAGATTGCGTAGGGGTTAGGGGGGAAAAGGTTCAGTGCAGCGTGGGAATGAAGGTGGAGGACTATTGAAACTCAATACCTGGTACGTGCCTCTTAGTTCTGTCCATGCTGAAAGCTAGCATAGATATGAGGTGATGCCACAGCTAACATGTATTTACTCTCAGGCATGCCAGCTTGCTTGCTCTCTACTCATCTTGAGATGTGTGTCAGGGGTTTCAGCATGAACAATAGGGGGCATATGGCACAAGTCTGCACATAGCCATTTGTACAGTGGCTAGCATAGGTGTACTCTAAGAGGCCTTCTCCCTGTCCCCACCATCCCAGGTCGTGTGCTAAAATCAGCTCAGCTGGAGCTGGTATCTGGCTCACTGGTCTGTAACAAGATTCCCCCTCCGCTTTTTGTGTAGTCTTTATCTGCGTCAGAAAGTTACCCTTGCTATTGGGAAGTAGAATATTTTATCATTCAAATGATACCCCCTCTTAAAAAGCCCACATCCCCATTTGCTGAATTAAGTCCCAGAAGCAAGACAGCTATAGTGTTGTGGCTTTTGCTGTTGTTTTTGCTACTTAATAATTTTTTTATTGTCCAGTCGTGGGAAGAATATTGGAACCTTTACACTGATGTTCCAAAGTAATTTTTAACATTAATTGCTGAGAGGGTATCAATTTTACTATAACATTCTGTTATCTGGAGTAATTTAAGGACTTTAAACATGAAGGAATGGCTTTCATTAGGATGATGGGTACATGGTGAAGCACATGGCTTTGCATATAAATGAAGTGATTAAGAATGATTGCCCAACACCTATTGTCCTCTGCCAAATTTTCAAGGGGAATTAGCATTTAAACATAGCCACTTGAATACCAGGTGTTAGATTTTTATAACAGAGTTATGAGCAGCCATACCTTCTAGAGTTTTGGTATTTAAGACGTTTCTGAAAGGTTAAATGGCACAATTACAAATAATGATGAGCTACATGGATAGCCAATGTAAGACTGTGGCTAGCAAGATTAGTTCAAGGATGGTGAACTGATTTTTGATTAACTTTGTTGTGACTTTCATCCTTGGTGTTTGCAGTGTTGTAACTGTTGGTCCCAGGATCTGAGAGGGAAGGTGGGTGAGGTCATATCTTTTTATTCCTCTGGTCTCTGAAGAGGAGCTCTGTGGAGAGCCAAAGCTTGTTCTTTTTTCACCCACAGAAGTTGGTTCAATAAAAGCTATTGCTCACTTACCTTGTCTCATTCATTCTTGATGTAATTTTTGGCTTCACTGTATTTACATGAGGAGGGGAATCAATGTTATCAACTCTCATGACTTTATCCTGAGTCCGATGATCTTTTACTTAGAGCTTCAACTTCTGGAGACAAATGATTAGAAGAGACCAATAACTTACTTTTTAAATGGAAGTTTCTATACCTGACTGTTTCAGAGAAAAGCTTGAAAATGTGACTGTGACATTGCATTCCATATGTTTTATGGAAATATGATTATGAGTGTGAATATGATGTAACTGGAGTATGCTTTATGCAAAATGTCTCTTGTAAGGTATCATAACAAAGGTTATAAACTACTGAATATATTCCTCCTATTTGTATGCATGTATCATTCTTGTATCTGAAGCTAGAAATATGAAGTATAACTCTGAGGTCCTATTGTAATTATGCAAAGTGTGGGCCATGAATGATGGTTTAGAATCTTGATGGCTCCCATTGACGAGGACAATTGGTTGTAAATGTTTTATTTATGTGCAAACCTTCCTGTGTACCTATGGGCCAACCCAGGAAGAATGGAGACTAGGGGTCTTGGAGTGACATGTGACTATGTCACATGATAATGGAATCCATCTTAATCCTTGTACTTTTCCATTGAAGAGGCGGGGGTGGGGACAAGCACAGACAAAATATTCCCCTCTTGTGCCAAAGATATAAAAGTGGGTGTCAAGGTTCCTCCCCGACTCTGAACTCTAGGGTACAGGTGTGGGGACCTGCATGAAAAAACCTACTAAGCTTATCTTTACCAGCTTAGGTCAAAACTTCCCCAAGGTACAAAATATTCCACCCTTTGTCCTTGGATTGGCCGCTACCACCACCAAACTAATACTGGTTACTGGGGAAGAGCTGTTTGGACGCGTCTTTCCCCCCAAAATACTTCCCAAAACCTTGCACCCCACTTCCTGGACAAGGTTTGGTAAAAAGCCTCACCAATTTGCCTAGGTGACTACAGACCCAGACCCTTGGATCTTAAGAACAATGAACAATCCTCCCAACACTTGCACCCCCCCTTTCCTGGGAAATGTTGGATAAAAAGCCTCACCAATTTGCATAGGTGACCACAGACCCAAACCCTTGGATCTGAGAACAATGAAAAAGCATTCAGTTTCTTACAAGAAGACTTTTAATAAAAATAGAAGTAAATAGAAATAAAGAAATCCCCCCCTGTAAAATCAGGATGGTAGATATCTTACAGGGTAATTAGATTCAAAAACATAGAGAACCCCTCTAGGCCAAACCTTAAGTTACAAAAAAGATACACAGACAGAAATAGTTATTCTATTCAGCACAATTCTTTTCTCAGCCATTTAAAGAAATCATAATCTAACACATACCTAGCTAGATTACTTACTAAAAGTTCTAAGACTCCATTCCAGGTCTATCCCTGACAAAGACAGACTATAGACAGACACACAGACCCTTTGTTTCTCTCCCTCCTCCCAGCTTTTGAAAGTATCTTGTCTCCTCATTGGTCATTTTGGTCAGGTGCCAGCGAGGTTACCTTTAGCTTCTTAACCCTTTACAGGTGAGAGGAGCTTTCCCCTGGCCAGGAGGGATTTCAAAGGGGTTTACCCTTCCCTTTATATTTATGACAGTGGGAGGAGCAGCGCAAAGAGGCTTCCAGTCATGAGAAAACCCTGCTTACCACCTAGATGTCTGCTGGAACTAACAAGGACTTGTACCAAGGGAAAGGATTGGACCCAGACTTGGAAGGAGTTTAGTCTGTGAAAGAAGCTTATTGGAACATCTCTGAGGGTGAGATATTACTTGTAATCAGTTTCTTAATGTATTAGGCTTAGACTTGCATGTTTTTGCTTTATTTTGCTTTGTGACTTACTTTGTTCTGGCTGTTATTACTTGAAACCATTTAAATCCTACTTTTTATACTTAATAAAATCACTTTTGTTTATAATAAACCCAGAGTAAATGATTAATACCTGGGAGAGCAAACAGCTGTGCATCTCTCTCTCTCTCAGTGATATAGAGGGCGAACAATTTATGAATTTACCCTGTGTAAGCTTTATACAGATTAAAATGGATTTATTTGGGGTTTGGATCCCATTGGGAGCTGGGTGTCTGGGTGCTGGAGAGAGGTAACCTGCTGAGCTGTTTTCAGTTAAATCTGCAGCGTTGGGGGCGTGGACCAGACCTTGGGTCTATGTTGCAGCAGGCTAGCATGTCTGGCTCAACAAGACAGTGTTCTGGAAGTCCCAAGCTGGCAGGGGAAATGGGCTCAGAGGTAATTTCAGCACATCATATGACAATCCCAAGGGGGTCTCTGTGACCAAGTTCATCGTGGTGACCCATCTGCAACCTTGAAGGTTCAGAAACTAGAAAGTAAATAAAAAAGAACCAAAGTGTGTGTGTGGGGGGGTGTAATTTCATGATTCTTAAGACAATCTCATGATTCTTAAGCAAATCTCATGATTTTGGGGAGCCTGATTTAATATTTTTGAATGTTTGTGGATTATGTATTCTGATTTTTGAATGTTTGTGACAAGGATGGGGATTTAACCCAATCTCTGTTTAGCACAAAAATCTTGAAACATGAGAAATCTTAGTTTACTTTATTGGATGGTTTGTTTAAAAAAAGGAATAAAGCATTTTTCCATCAGAAAATGGGGTTTTCTCAAAATCAAACCTTCTCCTAAAAAAGACAGATTTTAGGGGCAGGATTTTCTTGAAAATGAAATGTCAGGCCAGGGCAACATTAATCTCGGTCTCTGCCTGAATCACTATAGTGCCCAATGGGAGTTGTAGTTCTGGGTTCCTCATGCCCCAGTTCACCACTATGGAAGCTTCTCCTCAGCCAAACTACATCTCCCATGATGTACTTCAGTCATTGGACTCTCATGATGCACCACAGTGGCTCTGTCATAGGGAGTAGAGACCATAGAAGAATGGTGACATGAGGTGCTCTCCACTATAACTCCCACGGGGCATTACGGTTTCTCAGATGGATCCAGAGATTAATATCAACTTGAAGTAAAATGTTCCAGGGTTTTTTTAAATGTTTGTTCTTTGATATTTGGGATATGCTCATTTGAGAGCAAAACAAATGTCAAAATATTGGAATTTCCTACTGCATGGAAAAAAAATTTAATCGGCTCTACATCATACTTACTTTGCATAATTTAAAGTTGGTTATGTTCCTACTGTGGTAGTGTTTAATTATTGGAATTGGGGACTAGGAATCAGGATTCCTTTATTCTGTTCCTTATTCTGCCACTGACTTGTGTCACTTCAAGCAAGTCGGTTAACCTCTCTACATCTCAGCTTCATCATCATCATCATCATCATCATCACTCCCATAACTGCATTGGTTGTTGGGGCACCATCATTGATGAGCAATCAACCAATTGTCTCCAACCCTGACGATTGTGTGTCAGTGCTTGAGTCTCCGCAAAGTCCATTCCTGTCCGCCCTTTTTTATGTTGTCAATCCATCTCTTCTTCTGTCTACCTCTTCTTCTCTTCCCCTGTACAGTCCCTTGGAGGATTATCTCGGATAGGCCAGATGATCTTGTTACATGTCCTTACCACTTCAGCTTGCGCTTCTTCACGGTCGTCAGGAGGTCCTCAGATGACCCAGAGCATTGGGTGATGATGTTGTAGGCCTCTTCATTAGTGACGTGGTCAAACTAGGAGATGCCCAGGATTTTACGGAAGCATCTCATCTCTACTACCTGTATTTTCCATTCAAGTTCTGCCGTAAGGGTCCATGTCTTGCACGCATACAGAAAAATGGAGATGACCAATGCGTGCAGCAGTTTTGGTTTGGATTCCAGGGAGATGTTCTTATTCCTCCAAATTTAGCTTTGTCACTGCTGCTGCTATTTGTGCAGTTCTTGCCCAAATTTCTGCCTTGGATCCTTGATCAGTGATGATTGCCCCCAAATACTTGAACTGTTTCACTGTTCATCTCAGTTCATCTCAGCTTGCCCATTTGTAAAATAGCTGTAATAGTATCCATGTCACAGTGGTGTAGTGTAATGTAATTGTTTGCAAAAACACTTTGAAATCCTCAAAGGTTTGTGTAAGTGATAATTCTCCTTAAGAGGTAAGCAAGCAGCTCAGACATATTTTTGTAATATCTGTGTGTATATATAGCTAATCTGCACAATGAGCTGTTGGGAGTAACAATAGAAAAATCAAAGCTGTCTGGCTTGGCACTGGATTGAAGGTGTGAACTGAGATCAGATAGTAATCTTTATTCTGTCCCTTACTCGCTATAAATTCATTCTTCTCTCTCTCCCTCCCTCCCTCCCTCCCTCTCCTGAAGCATATACAAAACAAGAATTATGCACTTACACCCTGAAGAAAATGACCTGGTACTGGTGCAGCATGAAGGAGTGGAGAGCACAGTCAATCAAAAGACAGACAAACTTGACATTTACAGAGCATACCATATGTTGTTGAACTGTCATGCGTTGTTGTATATTTGATGAAGTTGGGTCCTTTTATATATCAATTCCACATTGCAAATGTTGCTTTTCTGGGACTGCTGGTTGGTAATGGCTTGTGGCAATACATATTCTGTGCAGTAAACAATCACGTATGATATTATAGTGCAACTAAGTTATTGCCACAACTGTAAACAACTAATAAAAGTTACTGTGCCTTAGAGCTGTTACAGTAATACTTTCTCCATTTCCAAGCCTATTGACTTGATGGAACATTTTACATTAAGTTGCTGCATCATCTCTCCTAATTAGCTATTTAAGCAATAAGCATGCTACGCTAGGTTGTATAGTACACCATTTCTAAAAGGAGATTTCCAGCACCAGAGATATACTGAGTAAACTTTCAAAGAGCTATAATACAAGGTGGGCTAGATGCAGTCCATTTCACTTCAAGGTTACCGGTTCAAACCTGGTGGGTAGGGACTGAAAGTCATTGCCATTAGATTGCTTCTGGTAGCCTGTATGAAAAGAGTTGTTCTCAGTCCAGTGGGAACTAGTGTTCCCCTCTGAGAAAAACCACCATCACAATTGGATCTAATTGGCAATTTGACACCCTTGTTGACAGGATTCATGAAGAAATCAAGGACTAAAGGGGCACCAAGAGGAAAGTCTTTAAGTTAAGGCCCTGGACTGGACTTGGTCAATTCCCAGGTCTTCTACAGACTTTCTGCATTGCACAAGTTGCTTGATCTCCCTGTGCAGCAGTTCCCCATCTATAAAATGGGGATAATAGCCATTTATTTTGTCTTGGCCATTAGACCATAAGCTCTTCAGGGCAGGGACTCTTACTAAAAAGGTAAGAAGGTACAGTACCTAGCCCAGTACAGGCCTAGGGGCCTGCAGACACTACTGTAATACAAGTATAATCTCCTTGACCAAGATTACAAAAAAAATCTTATATTGTTGGGCTCCTAGGCTGAAATATGTATTTGTTTTTCAGACGTGCTGAGCGCCCAGCAGCTCCCAAATGAAAGGCCATCAGTTTTATTTTACCCTGAGTGCAACTACAGTGCTTACTTTGCACTTCTAGAGATCAAGACATTTAATCAGGTGCTTAAAAATACCCCCAGGAGCTCAATTTAAGGTACCTATTTATTAAAAACTCTTGGCCCTTGTAATGAAGCTACCTTTTCCCCCATCGAGATGGTTCCACCAGGTTACAGTTAAGGCACTTTGGCACAGGAATTTGCAGTATTGCTGTACATTCTGTTCTGTGCCCATTTTGTGGATAAACTGTTTTTCATTTTGGCACCTCTCATGAGTAACAAACTCTGAACATTGGGTCAGGATGATGAGGCTAAGTTTATATCATGATTTCCCTTCATACATAACTCATGATACAACAGCATTTTATAATAAAAAAGAGTACTGGGGATTCACAACCCTGATTAAATGCTGCTGAGGAATTTTAAGTCCTTTTTCTAACTAAGACACTGGCAAATTGAAAACTAATAAGGTATTTTGCATATCAAACATTGCTTTGGGGACTGCCTAAACGAGGCATCTAGTAGATTTTACCTAACTGCTCTGTGAAAAGAGTTAATAAAGAAAATGATGACAGCTCATCATTTGAAAGAATAAAATCCTTACCCAGGGCAGAAGAAATATTGTTTTATTATTTTGCAATCATCAGTGCAGAGATCTTCAAATGTTTTGTTCCTTAAACATTAGTTGCTTGCAGACACTTTCATAAATCTTATTGTAGTGATATCAAATGATGTGTAATATGTTTCAGTGTTGAACAATACATACACAATTTAATGCTACCACTGTAGTGTATGTAGCCATATAAATGTCACGATGACTTTTTCTTTGTACTATATCTTTCCATTTCTAAGGAATCTGCTTATCTGAAGGGGCCAGCAGCCATTTTGTGAGGAAAAGCTAATGCAACATCTCTCATGACTTTGCTTGTGGAGTGTGTGTTTTTAGTTTGTCTCCTTAAAAATGATTCAGGCTGGAAGTACTTGGATGCTCCTTTAGTATGGAAAAACATCACAGCAAGAATTGCAATAGTCATATGTGAATAATTTATTTCCCAATGAGCTAAACTGTCAGCCAAAATTTCCTTTGTACCTATCTATGCTGTGCCCCAGTCTTCCCTTGTATTCATACATGGGGGTTCCCATTATGGGAATGATTACCGTTATTGAACACAACATCCTATTGCACAGATGAGAGAACATAACATATGCAATGAGGATATAGTGTATAAGTGAAAACTGAATTGGGTAAGTGAAATTAAGAATTCAATGAGCATCCATAGCTCTCTAAATCCAAGAAAAGCTATATTTTCAAATGCCAGTGTCCAAATTACACCAGCACTCCTGCATTTGTGCTTATGTGCACAGAGTCCCAGTTTTCATGTGCAAATGCACATTTTGAGATGCACATGTGGGATTCTGAGTAACAATGGTACAATCTCAAATTTTGCATGTGTGACTTGGCGTCAAACTTTTATACATGGACACCCAAGACTCAAGTTTTCATCATCCCTTCTATTTTAAAAGTTATATGATGGAGAAAGAATAATAAATTATATAAGGTTTTATTTCATAGAATCGTAGAATATCAGGGTTGGAAGGGACCTCAGAAGGTCATCTAGTTCAACCCCCTGCTCAAAGCAGGACCTAATCCCCAACTAAATCATCCCAGCCAGGGCTTTGTCAAGCCTGACCTTAAAAACCTCTCAGGAAGGAGATTCCACCACCTCCCTAGGTAACCCATTCCAGAGCTTCACCACCCTCCTAGTGAAAAAGTTTTTCCTAATATCCAACCTAAACCTCCCCCACTGCAACTTGAGAACATTATTCTTCGTTCTGTCTTCTGGTACCACTGAGAACAGTCTAGATCCATCCTCTTTGGAACCCCCTTTCAGCTAGTTGAAAGCAGCTATCAAACCCCCACCCCCTTCTGCAGACTAAATAATCCCAGTTCCCTCAGCCTCTCCTCATAAGTCATGTGCTCCAGCTCCCTAATCATTTTTGTTGCCCTTCACTGGACTCTTTCCAATTTTTCCACATCCTTCTTGTGGTGTGGGGCCCAAAACTAGACACTGTACTTCAGATGAGGCCTCACCAATGCTGAATAGAGGGGAATTATCACGTCCCTCGATGGCAATGTTCCTACTTATGCAGCCCAAAATGCCGTTAGCCTTCTTGGCAACAAGAGCACACTGTTGACTCATATCCAGCTTCTCATCCACTGTAACCCCTAGGTCATTTTCTGCAGAACTGCTGCCTATCCGCTCGGTCCCTAGTCTGTAGCAGTGCATGGGATTCTTCCATCCTACGTGCAGGACTCTGCACTTGTCCTTGTTGAATCTCATCAGATTTCTTTTGGCCCAGTCCTCTACTTTGTCTAGGTCCCTCTGTATCCTATCCCTACCTTCCAGCGTATCTACCACTCCTCCCAGTTTAGTGTCATCTGCAAACTTGCTGAGGGTGCAATCCACGCCATCCTCCAGATCGTTAATGAAGATATTGAACAAAACGGGACCCAGGACTGACCCTTGGAATACTCCGCTTGATACCGCCTGCCAACTAGACATGGAGCCCTTGATCACTACCCGTTGAGCCCGACAATCTAGCCAGCTTTCTATCCACCTTATAGTCCATTCATCCAGCCCATACGTTAACCTGCTGGCAAGAATACTGTGGGAGACCATATCAAAAGCTTTACTGAAGTCAAGGAATAACATGTCCACTGCTTTCCCCCTCATCCACAGAGCCAGTTATCTCATCATAGAAGATAGAAGGCAATTAGTTTAGTCAGGCATGACCACACCATATACATCATAGAAATGTTATTTTCAAATGTTTGAGAATTTAGTACATTTTTGAGATTTTTAAAAAAATTTCTCCAGTTGTAAAGCCACATGTTTGTTTTAAATACTGTAAGTCCAACTGTACAAAATATAGCTAAATGCCTCTAAAAAGACAATTTTATATACATTTCTTCTCAGTAACTTTTAAAGTCTCATTTTGACACTTGGAGTTTGGACAAGCACCGTGCATCCCTGTCGAAGGTGGAAAGTCTGCCTGTTTTCATTGTATAAATCTCCCATTTGTACATTTATTAATCACAAGATACTGAATTTAACCTATCATTGCAAAAGAGAATATGGGGTATCTTGCAGCCTCTGTCCTGTATTATGTTGGGAGAGGTTAGTCTGTATGTGGAGAAAATTTTAGGGTTAATAGTCCAAATATTTGAAAACATAAAGTATATTTTACATATAATTATTTTGAAAACTAGACAATTTCATCATTTAAGTAGCATTTTTATAAGCTAGGAAAATTTGGCATTTCTAATTAGGAATTCTTTAATGGTTAAATCATGACTTTTTAAAGTAGTAATTGGGCATGTTGTAAACTTTCAAGGTCTGTGATTTTAAAATTGAATTGATCTTTGACTTATGTAAAAGAATAGATAGATAAGTGAGTGCCTCACAGAGGAGACAAGCTGTCTATGATATTATGATTGGAATGAGTTTTTCAAAGGAATTCAGACTAGACAATCAATCCTCTGATCTTCCTTTGCACACCAAAAAGATGACTCAATTAGATTTAGTTAGCTGAAGCTGAAAATGTTGCTTTTTAAGAGTGTCAGGGTTCCTTCCCCACTCTGAACTCTAGGGTACAGATGTGGGGACCTGCATGAAAACCTCCTAAGCTTACTTTTACCAGCTTAGGTTAAAACTTCCCCAAGATACAAATTATTTTACCCTTGGATTTCCACTGCCACCACCAAACTTTATCTGGGTTTCTGAAAAAATGTAGTTTGGACACGTCTTTCCCCCCAAAATCCTCCCAACCCTTGCACCCCACTTCCTGGGGAAGGTTTGGTAAAAATTCTCACCAATTTGCATAGGTGACCACAGACCCAAACCCTTGGATCTTAGAACAATGAAAAAAGCATTCAGTTTTCTTACAAGAAGACTTTTAATGGAAGTAAAGGAATCACCTCTGTAAAATCAGGATGGTAGATACCTTACAGGGTAATTAGATTCAAAACATAGAGAATCCCT